TGGATGACTGACAAAAATTTTGTTTCTCTCAGTGCCATGTGCTTTCACTCTCTGCAAAAATGATATGACAAATACTCCATATCATCAAGAACAGAACTTTCCTTATCATAATAAGGGAAGGTTGTTCCCTGAGCACTTTCCTTTGAAATACTGGAAAGGTGACATACCGTGTATTCCATGGTGGATTCTGCTTGCCTTCCGTTCCATTTCTTTTTATTTTTCTTTTAACTGACAAAAATCATTGGTTAATTGAGATACTTTGCTGAAGTGTTTTTCCCTGAAACAGTATAAGCATAACACTCAATTATAACATAATGAGTCTCAGTCTGAAAATATTGAAAGAAGAAATCTGAATTAAGCATGGACAAGAACTGTCCTTCACCATGGCTGATTAGGATATAACTATGATTTACTATGTTTGGCAGTAGGATTTATACACCAAGTTGCCATTAAAATCTTATGATGTAAGATCTCAGGAGTCAGCACATTAGTCTTGCTAATGTTATAACTTCAATAGGCATAAAATGAAGACAAGGTCTTGAAGTTCAAGTAAAAGTTTTTTCCAAGGTATTTAAAAACTGAAACTTAAAATAAATAAATAATAAAAAAAAAGACGAAGACTAATCTTTTCTGAAAGTTTTGTTAATCACTGGATGAAGTCTGATTATCTTAAGATATATAACCTTTTTGTCTTAACCAGTTCTTATGGACTACAGATTAATTACAGACTACCCTAGGAAGTATTTCTGAGTTTATATTCCTGGATAATTCAATATTAAAATTCATTCTCCACTCATTTTTTGAGGATTTTTCTACATTTCTGGAATGATTATCCTTCGGTTCTTGCTACAGTCTCTGGAAGACAAACTTACTCAATATGGATGAGACACTGCATTATTATATTAATTATTGGCTGAAACCAACTCAAGTGTGTGCATGGTGGGGAAGAGACAAGTTGAATTCAACAAAGATGGTTTAGTGCCCTGTTTCATACCCCAGGCCCTGCTCCTTAGGCAGCCCCGGAGCAGCTGTCAGTCACAGGCACACCAGGATCATTCTCCCCTGGAGCCCCTAACCCAGCCCCAGAATGGGTGGCACACTGGAAGCCCCCCCCTGGGGGGGTTGGCCACAGGGGGCCAGAGTAGATAAAAGCAGCACCATGTGGCCGTCGTGTGGTCACAGTCCTGCCATTTCCTGGACTCTATGTAACTGGATCTATGCTGGACCTAGGGTGGTAGCTATAATTGTCTCTTTTTATCTCTCTTTCTTTACTTCTTTTCCTCATCCCCTTTCTTGAAATTTGGGTAACTTAAATTTGCATGGGTTGGGTCTCGCTAAGTTGTATGGGTTAATACATGCTAAGTCATTGCTTTGTGAAATGCTTTATTTTGGTTGAATGTTGCCCTTTACACTTTTTCCAAGTTCCCTTATTTTCTAAAGTTCGCCAGTAAAAGTGTTTTATTTGACCTCCTGAGAAACACGTGCGGAGTCTTCTCCCATGCGTTCTCCCACGCATTCTCTCTAGGTATAAAAGAACTTAAGGACCTTTCAATAGATCCAGTGGGGGACTTTCACATTCTTGTATGTTTTTAAAGTAAAAACCCTTCACTGAGCTCGTGGCTCAAACCTGGGCTCTTACATTTTCTGGTGTAGTCGTAGCGGGATACTTTCGAGAAGCAAGAGGGTTTCTGTTGTTTGGGGATAGCTGCTTGTTGCAGACAAAGGGAGAAACTTTTATCGGTTGAAGCCAATTTCCCCAGCAGTAATGTGGTAGCAAGAGAAAATACTCTACAGATCCAGACTGTGACCACAACATCAACAGGACTACAAGCACCACTTTAACCAACGAACACCGAAATTGCAACTACCAAGTCTTGTCGCTGGATCCAAGGTGTATCTTGCAGGTCCTTCTGGTCACTTGGGGGGTCCACAGCCCTCCTCTGACTGCCTGTACCAGTGCTGCAGCCCCATTTCAGCGCCACAAAAGTGTCTGCCAGTATTGAACCCCAGCTTTCTGCCTTTTCCTGCCAGTGCTAACTCTCCAACCATTCCTGTCAGGTTTTCCAGGTGTGGGGGAGGGTTAGGGTGGAAGGGAGGCCATTTTGTCTCTGTCCTGTGGCCACATGTGTTTTTTCCAGGTGTGGGAGGCCAGCTGTCATCTGAATTTGGTCTGGTGGGCGGGGCTTGGGAAGTTTCTCCTCATCGGCTGGTTTAACCCAGTTTCATCAGTATTGTTATTAGCATTCTTCTTAGTAAAGAGTTATTTTTTTCACTTACATCCAGGCATATTTGGTCTCTCTCTCTCTGTATTGGAGAAAGCAGGGGTATTGAATCCAAGGGAGGAGACTTCTGTTCAAGGTCTCTGCCCCTCCAAATTGTCTCAAACTGAGACACAGAGACGAAGGCAATGGATAAAACTGAGACAGTTTTGAAAGAGTAAAGCTCAAAATCCAGTCACGTCAGTGTGACTCAGAGCGTACAGCAACAGCACAGAATCAACAGCTAATTGTGACATGGCTCCTTCAGTTAGCCTGAAGGATTTTTGTGCCTGGATTAAATTTCTACTTGTTTTTTAAAAAAAACCTATAGCTTTTAAAAACTATGAAAGAAGTCTCATGTATACATTTTCAATGGACGTTTTCACTCAGCTAATGAATTACAGCTTGTAGATAATTTCACAGAATCACAGAATTTGCCAAGTTGGAGGGGACCCACAAGGATCATCGGGTCTAACTCCTGACCTTGCAGAGGATTATCCCCAAGAGTCAAGCCATGTGCCTGAGAGGATTGTCCAAATGTTTCTTAAACTCTGTCAGGTTTGGTGTTATGACCACTGTCCTGGGGAGCCTGTTCCAGTATCCAACCACGTTCTGGGTGAAGAGCCTTTTTCTAATATCTAACCTAAATCTCCCCTGACACAACTTCAGGCTGTTCCCTTGGATCCTGTCACTGGTCAGAAAAGAGATCAATTTCTGTCTCTCCTCTTCCCCTCACGAGGAAATTGTAGACTACAAGGAGGTCTCTCCTCAGTCTCCTCCAGGATGAACAGACCAAGTGCCCTCAGCCACTCCTCATACAGCTTCCCCTCAAGGCCCTTCACCATCTTTGTTGCTCTCCTTTGGGGCAACAAAGTTTAATAGACTTTTTAAAAGAGTTTAATATCTTTTATACTGTGGTGTCCAAAACTACCACAATGTTCAAGGTGACGCCTAACCAGTGCAGAGCACAGCAGGACAATCACTACCCTCAACTGGCTGGCGAGGCTTTGCCTGATGTCCCCCAGGATGTGGTTGGCCCTTCTGGCTGCCAGGGCACTGCTGACTCATATTCAACTTGCCATGAAACATGACCCCCCAAGTCTCTTTCCATGGCACTGCTTTATAAATTCATTCCCAAATTTGGAATGTCCTTTATGTCCTAATCAATAATCAGCATCAGAATATTTAACCATAACACAGTTGGCACAATTAAAATTTCAGGAGGTAGAACAGAGTTGAGCACAGACTGGTTCTTGGACCTTCAAAAACTCAGTAAATCAGCTCTAATACAGTTGAGATGCCTTTTTCCAAATGTGTAAACAATCTTTATCCTGATGATACTTGCAGTTATTTTCGGTACTGCCTGGGCTGCACTTTCAAATCAAAAGAGTTCCTGCTAACACTGTTGCTGTTCTTTTTTACCATTAATGAATTATCTACCCTGCCACAGTTTTGTATATGGTATATTTAACTTAAGAATATTCTTAACATTCTTATTTAAATAATAGTACTTAAAATTATTTTCTGAAGTGTTGGTTTGCCACATTTATGCAAAATGATTTTCATTTGCTTCTTTCCAAAGGAATCTAAGAATTTCTTAGAATGTCTTCTGTCTTTGACCACCAGCACAAAAGGCTTAATCATGCACCCTGAAAATTTCAGTTCGTGCTTCTCTGCTGTAATGTACAAGGCAGAAGCCTTTTCTCTATGAGGGTCTGATGCAGTACTTTCAGTATGACTTAGAAATTACAGATATTTAGCACAGAATTAAATAAGGAATAAAAATATGTCCAAAAGAACTGTTGATTTCTTTCTACACAGGGAATAAACCTGTAAGGCACCTCTAAGATGTGTGTGTGTTTCAATGAGAAATGAGAGGATGGGCATCTTTGGCAAAGTGTAAAGATGTCACATGCTATTTAAATTATATGATGAACAAAGACACATTACCATCCAGAAGATGCTCAGACGTAACCATAGAATTTATAGGCATCAGCAATGTAATTTTGTTGTCACATTGCATCATTTAGAAATACATGTTCTGGTTTGGGTTGGGTTTTTTGTTTGTTTGTGGGATTGGCTTTTTCCTATGTTGAAGAGTCAGAAAATAAAATGTAATTATGTCTGAAGAGATTGGAGCCCCCACAAAACCCATAAAAAACCCATTTCTGTGAAATAAGGAGTTGTACAAAAGAGCTTCATGTGTATGATACTTCTGTGTTTCTATGCATTAATGTACATCCTATGTCTCAGCATTATATGACGTGGTGTTTTGTTTGTTATCTCATACTCCTTATAAAATCCAGATATAAACACAATTGTAACATAATTCTGTCTCTGGGCACAAGAAATAAACAGTTTGTTCTGAGTTTCTGTTCCAAGTTTCTCACTGCTTCTTGAAAAATTCTACTCTTGCTTTTCAGATTTAAAATTTCCTACATATCAGGATGGGCTAAACGACAGTGAAAAAAACCCAAACAAATCCAACTTTTACTAGGTCATCAGAAAAATGTGGAACATATTCCTCCAGGCTGTTGTTTTTGGAAGCTTGCAGAATGTTAAAAAAAAAAAAAAAGTGACTGAAATTGTAGAATTACTGCTTTCTAAAAACTGTATTTTTTCCTTATACAGCTGTAACTTGGCACTCATTAGCCTGGTACTCACAGATAGTCTTGCTCTTCATTAATAAATGCCTTTCTATTTCTACCATTTTGTTTAATTCTAAATATCTGTTTTTAAACAGTGCTATATTTTGTCTCTTGCCTGTCCTGAAAAATAAAGGAAAATACTACAGATTAAATTTTATTTTTTATTTTATTTTTAGATTTTCTAAAGCATAAATAATAAAATCAGAATATTCAGACAGTTTTGCCTGGAATTTTCTGGTACTTTTTGCTTGTTTAATTCCACATGATCATTCATACCATATTTATTCCCACAAAACAAGCATATTAAAATAAATTAGATTTTCAAAAGCAGATCAGGGGAATTTTTATGTCCTTATTTTGAAAAAGAAACGTTCTTAATTTCTGAAAAAACAAATATACATAAATTGCTATGTTGGAAGCAGGACTAATGGGGACAGAATTGTTTATAGCATGAGAGAGACGTACTTTTTAAAAAAGAACTGAGAATAAGATTCACTGCTCCCAATATTCTGTTTACCAGATTTCTTTTTGCTCAGAAATCAACATCTATGGATTTTGCCAGTCTGTGTGGTGAAACATAATCTCAGTAGGTATAGTAAGAGTCTTTGTCACCTTTGTTGTGCTTTGCATCAGACTGGACTCAGCTTGGCTGTGTGTTTTATTTACTTCCTGATCTATAAATGGCTGTCTTCTTCTCCTTCGTTCACCATACCTAAAGTGATTTGTGACAAAAATATTTGTTCTTTGTTAATGTGAAGTAGTTAAATGGTTTAGAACTGTCTCATGTGAGAAATGTACTTGCTACATGCAATTTTGCTTTTATTAAATGATATCCAGTCACTGACCAGGAGAGAGATCAAATGGATGCCAAATGCATTGCAGTACATGAGAAAAGTATCTGCCATAGATTGGAGAGCTGAACTAAACCGGTCAAATTTAAGCGAGAAATAAAGAATACATTTTCCATGCAAGAGGGTATTAGTCATTAGAAAAAAATTAGCAGACAAATGGATTCTTAAACATTCTTTCATCATGAGACCATTTTCAGTAATGTTTTATTGTGGGATCCTATACAGAGGTAACAGGATTATATTTTATGGCTTGATCAAGACAGAAAGCAAAACTACAGTCATTAATTTGTGTGACCAGGAAGGGTGTTTTGATAAAGAGTCCGTACCTTTCAAAGATTGTTGGTCAGCCAATAGAGAGGTAGAACCATGGAATTGAAAATAAAAATAAGTATACCGAGTGGTATGACTGCTCAGGGTCTCCTTGGATACCAGCAGGACGGGGTATCACAGTCAGTCCTACCACCCCAGACAGGGAACAGGACAGGCTGGAGGCAGCTGCAGCCCAGGCATCAGGCATAGGGCAGGCTGAAACCAGTGCTGGCGTCCTGATCAGGCCCAGTAAGATAGGAATGAGGGTCAAACAGAGCCCTTGGACCACTGGGCAGAGCTGTGGGGATGAGCTGAAACCAGGCCAGGGTGTCAGAGTGCAGGTGAGGATCAGGATCAGACAGTCCCATGGCTGGGCAGGGTCAGGCTGCAACACGGCAGGAGCCATATCTCAAGGGAACCATGTCCAGGACCCTGGCAGGATATATACTATAGAAAGCAAAGGCCTCCACCTACTGCAACCAGGCTAGTGACAAGTGTCTTCCATTTTCAAAGGCTTTGCTAAACAAGTACTAAATGTTTTTTCTAATGTCTGAGGCATTGCCCACACCTGGTCATGCTGTGACCTGGATTAGAGTGACCTAACAGAAAAAGCTGAGGAAAACAGATGCCAAAATCAGGACACATAATTATCTTCTTACCAAGTTAACTGTAGCAGCATGGGGTGATTCTATATGAGCCCTTTGAATGACTGCATTTGCCATCTGCTATTCACTTGCAAAACATTGTGTTTCTGCTTAGCACTCCTCAATGCATGCAAGCAGTATCCAGTTACCTTCAATCATAAACAAGAATGGTGTGAGCCATTCCTCTGTAAGAGCAGCTCTATTCGGTAGCGTGGCACCAGCCTGTGATGGTACTGAGCAGTTAATGTTAACATTACTAGAAAAAGGTCTATTCTTACTCTAGTTTCTCAGAGTACGGAAATGGCTGGCATTTTGTTGTGAACAAGAGTTCCTGGTTTTTTACATTTAAGCTGGTAAGACAAATTCCATTCATCAATTATCATAATTTTAGCTATTCTTTGGATTATTATTTATGGTCATTTTCAAATAGGTTGTCTGCTTAAGGCTTCTGTTCAGTAAGCCTTTATAAATGAAGAAACCTAAAGTTTGCAGACTCCAAGGTGATCAGAAGACTGAATACAGCAAAAGAACCTTCGCTGCTCCCTTGACAAGACATACACTTGGATGGGATCAGTTTACTGAAGCACAGATCCACATTCTGACTTTTCAAAATGTATTAAAAGGGAATCAAACCTCAGGGCAATTATAAGCATGCAACAATAGTTCCCTGCTGCCTTTCAAAGTATAATTTTTCCCTGTCAAAAAAAAAAAAAAAAAAGAAATAACCTACATAGAAAATGTTTTTAGTACTTTTAAAGATGTTTTGTATTATAGAGAATAAGGTGGATAACTCTTAAAATAAAAATTATTTGATAGCATGCCAACATTCCTCTTACACACTACCCAATCTTCTTCTGATGCATATCATAATCTATGATTTCAGTAAAAAGTTTAAATTTGAAAACATATAAAACATAGTTTTTATGGTTTGTTTTGTTTGGTTTTTTTTGCCCCAGGACTGATTTCTCAATCTGTTATTTCTCCTCCCAGAAACATTGGTTGCATATTCAGATGTTAAAAATAACTTCATAGCAACTGACTTGTCTTCACATCCTGTGCAAGACCACTCTGGAAACCATTACTGTCAGCACTCCAGCTCTCTTGTCAACAACTAACTGCTCTCAGTTGCTGATGAAACCATCTAGAGCAGTTCAGTTATTAGAGTCTGCATGTAATAATGTCAACATCATGTATTTTATAGATAGAAACCTACACGATAGAAGCTAAAAACTGTTTTGAAGATAGTCACATTTGATGCAGAAGAGAAACTAGCAAGCTCTAAAATGCTAACTTGAAAAATGCATTTTCCAGAGTAGAAGGATATCATAAGTTATCATTTAATTTTGAAACACAAGAAATAAACTTTTGGACTAGATTAAACAAAATTTTCCTGACAGTTTTCTAGTCAAACAGCAAAAATATATAAGCCTCCAAATGTTTTGTAAGAGAGGTATTCTGTGAAAATAAACACATTATCACTACTTTTCTTTGCTGTTAACAGTAACGACAACAATAACAAGAAGAGTAAACATACCTCAGTATAGAATTTTCCATTAAGTTACTTGTATTTTTAATGGAAGATGATATTTGAGATATGACTTTAGTAATTTCTCACTTTAGTTCAGGATCTTCACTTTATGAAATTTAAAAATACAAAAGTCTTTTTAAGATTAATTGCCTTCATGCCTCTATCCGGTGGCAACATTTTCACTTTATATGATTTACTGATAGATTTTAATAGGAGACTTTAGATGTAAATGAGGAATTTAATAGCATTAAGCACTATAATTAAATAAATAAAGCAAATATACTTTTAATTACAACAAAATCAAATTAACAATGTTGTTCTCAAAAGTTGATGACATGCCATTTTGACATAATTTTGTTTGGCTTTGCATATTCATGCTATTAAACCAAAGAGTCATCTTCTATGACATAGGATGTAAATCACCTTGAGTCAAGTTCTTGTTTCGCTTGTTTTTCTGAGGTCTGAACAGTGAATACTGGGAGAAATAAGATTTGCATGTGTAGTGTACTGGCTGCAAACAAAATTTGCCTTCATGACCAGATGCACAGTTTTATAAGAAATGTGGATCCATGAAAAGGAATGATAATCTTAAAATTCTGGTAGTTTGGTTGGGTCAAAATTCGGTAATTACTTTTTAATATTCTAGGAGTTAATTGTAAACTCATTCTGTCCCTTACAGAATGCAAAACGTTTGCAAAACATTTGCACTACTTACACATTTTTTCACACTTAAAAAGCCAACATAGCACTGGGGTTTTTTTCCTGCTAATTATATTTTAAGATTATGTAGATGTGCATAACTTTTTATTTTTTCACCTCCATCCTTCCTAGGTTAGAATTCCCTAGAAATTACAGAAAGCTAATTCTGAGTCTTCTGAATAACTGAGCACATAATCAGCAAAAGTGAGTTCTGTGACTTTGGTTATGCAGACTATGCAGTTTTCAGTGGAAGATGAAATGTGATTCAAAATAATCTTTCCACCTTGCACCTTCTCACTTTAAATAGTGACTGCTGGAAATTTCTACTTGCATAATAGAATGGGAAATTTACTTTTTCTCCTAATTCTTAGATATTGAAGTTAACACTTAACAGAGGTTTTCCTGCCTGACCAGTTCAGTGACTAAAGGAGGACAGGCTTTGTTATTAAAAATATAATTAAACATATATTTCTGAGTGGTTTTGTATCACCTCGGTTTCTTCGAGTTATTTGAAGCTGGCATAGACTCAAGTAATTTTGAATATACCTGCAGGTCATATACAGCTGAAAATGAAACTAATAGCTGATCTAATGAGGCCTGTGGTTAATCTGTCATGGATAAACTGGCAGAGTCGCACAGCTACTATACAATCAGTAAAAGAAAATATGCTTAGAATAGGATGTAAACAGTCCACAGTAGTGCTGAATTACCAAAATGGGATATGAAAATGATTCTATATTGGGTTATTGTTTCCAGAGTGAGATAACTAACCAAAGCATAAATGCAACGATGCTTTAGCATAAAGCATCATATCAGCCTGTCTTAAAATGAATGGATGTTTGAAAGGTGGGTGTATATTAATGATTCCATGTGAAAAACCTGAATTAATAAGCATAGTTTCTCTGTCAGAGGAGAATGCTGTGCAAGAAGACAAATTCAGCATCTAAAATACTGGTCTTTATGAGTTGCAGTAATTGGGTCAGCTTCTAGAAGAAGATACAAGGAGTCTGTAATTGAACTCAGTTACTTCAGTATTTTACTTTGCTGTTATACTGAGTTTTCTACATGCTACTGCATTTCTGCCTAATATAATTTTGGAGTATTTACCTACACACAGCTCACGTATGGGGATACAGTCCTTTTACTGTGGAAATCCAGGTTATCATGTCTAATTAGGGCAAAGATGGGAAACCTTCTGTATGTTATTTGACCAAACTATCATAAGGAATATTCAAAGTGTCAAACAAGTTCTGTATAAAAGGAATAACAGCTTATCTGTGGAGAAAATAAAACATTATTGGTCTACTTAAAGTGTTAAGAGTCTAATCAAAATAAAAAAGCTAATAATACTAAAAATGCAGGTGATTTCCAGTTGCAACACTCCATTCAAATGAGTTCAGGAAAAACATCTTCAATAACACAGTTAAAACTGTACAAAAATTAAAAAAAAAATCAAACAAACTCCCAAAACAAATGAAAAAAAAAATCTTTTTAGTTTAACCCACTTTTCTCTTGTGTTACTTTTGCATATCCAATGTTCTTCTGAATCCTCATGTTAACATTATGTTTTAAAGAGAAAGATGAGGGGATAAAACCAGGTTAAAACCAGGTTATAACATCTTAGGCAAGACAAATCAAGAAAGTTCATGTAACCTAGTATAGCCGGGTTAGCACAATGCCTGTGGCATTTTCTTAGTTGTCTATGCTGGAAAAATCTGTGGAGTCTTTTCTTCCCAAGTAACAAACTAAACTGATGATAAAGAGACACTTCAGGTGAGATTCAAGGAAGGATCAGGGAATTGTAATAGTCTGTGGGTAGGGATGTGGCATACCAGTAGTTTTTTCACGATTCAGTTAAAATTTAAATATAAACTTAGTCTTGATGAAGGTTTAATTTGATCTTCTCACACAATTTTATTCAGAACTGGTCAAATGTACATCCTTACCCTAAGCCCCAATCTTTAATTCATGCATATTTTCTCTTAAAGTCTCAAGATCTGCATCTTTCACAAAAAATAAAAGTTGCTTTTGGAAATTATAATCTCTGATTTAAAACCCACATCATACATGTCAAGTAAATGTGTGTGTATGCATATGTGTGTTCTGGTTCTTGATATGGAAATTTGCATTGATACCACTGTTTGCCAGTTGCAAACCCAAGACGGCTGCAGTCTTGAACCATGTGTATTTTGACTTCACAACTATTCTTAATGGGTTTTCCATGTGCCCAGTAGAATATATTTTGCCTCACAGGTAGCTGCATGCATATGTAAAATCTATCTTTTTGACTCTGATCTATTCAGGTAATTTTATTTTTTTCTGACTTATGCAAATCAAATTTTGTCCAGAAGAGATGCACTTGAAATAATGAGGCAATGAAGTCTCAAAGGAGAGAGCTTCTGCAGAACAGGGGGAAGGTTTTCAAACAATTTGTACACTAAACATGTAAATGCACATTGTCTTGGCAGATATCTTGCACTGAAATAAAAAAAATAAATCTGTTACAGTCACCATGCCACTGGAATGATGGACAAGTGAGGTGGTGAATAAGGCACAAACACAAGAATGTAGATAGATAAAAGATGAACTATGAGTGTACTGTAGGTTTACTAAATGTAGGAGAATCTTACCAGACCCTCACTGTTCACCCTGAGGATATTGGTTTTATGAATGACAATATGTTATCTCTAATCAAGTTCCTGAATACACTGTACTTGTTATTGCCAAATGAAAATTGCCGCCAGCATTACATACAGTATTTCTGACTCTGTCAAGATGTGGGGTTTTTTGAGTCATGGTTTTATGTTGTGGTGTAAAGCTGTCATTTCACAGAATTTACCTTAATGTGTGTATATATATATATATATCTCCATGAAGTTCCCTGAGGAGTAACAACTCCTTCTCAAATATATTACAGTGCAGACTATAAAATAATTGTTATAAAACTTTAAAAAATTGAGGAACTTTTTATATCTGTGATTGCCTTATTCACCTTGAGGACTTAAAACACTAAGCAAACGCAAAAGTCCACTAATGACAATGCCTGTCACAAAACAGCTTATTGTCTAAGTGTAGTTAATCAAGGATAATTAAGTAGTCTGCGAGAACAATATATCAGTATAAACAGAGGAAGATCATGCAGTAAAAGGCATCCTCACAGCCTAGCTTGGGAAGAACAGAAGAGTTTCCCTGGGATTTGCAATGAGATTTAAAAGGACATTGAAAGCTGATGAAGACAGAATGAAGGAAAAGACATCTCTGACTAAGAAGCAAAAGGATTGTATAAAATTCATCTTATCCATCTGTTTCAGTGTGTGTAGGTGTCTCTGTTTAATGAGTTGTTGTGCTCCATTTTATTACTTTGGCATTATATTAAACATCATGCTAAACAGATGATTGGAAACTTTTTATTAAGCTTTCTTTTTTTCATCAAATGTGTGCATATATGTGGATTTGTATGTGATATGTAAGGGATGGGGGGGAAATTTTCATGTCAAAAGTTAAAGATCATATCACGAGGTCTTCAGTATTTAGGATTGTAGAGACTCATAAAATATTAAATTTATGTAAAATTTCATTTTTCACAGTATGTCTTTGATCAAAATAAGATAAAATTCATTAAAAACAGTTCTGTGGGCAAGACATTTCCTAGTAGCTGGTTAGTAAAACTGATCTCATTGTGAATGTTGTTGCTGCTAGAAGCATTAGTGGATCTGAAGAGAATGTTGTTTTCATGTAGCTTTAAAGAACATTCCCACATTTATGGCTAATTCTGTTAATTTAAAGAAAGTTACAGAGTTTGATCTGAGGTGAGAGGCTTAGTAATTTTGGCAGTGGTAGCTCCAGATAGCTTTTCCTCAGAGACCTAGAGATGAACCAGCTCCAAATAGAAGATGAATTGTCAGAGCTTTCAGATGCCAAACATCAAGGGAAACAGCTTAGGTTACAGATATTCAGGCTTAGAAATAGCCAGAGATCTAGAAGTTTAAGAAAATCCTTGTAACCTTTTGAAATCTGAAAAAAAAGAATGTATTGCATTAAGAGCCAGAGGAAGATGCCCTTTATATTTGAAAAACTACCTTTGACAAGATAATAGAGCATATTATTGCATGTAAGAACATTCCGACTGCAGATAGACCTTTCCTTGGCTAAAGATCCAAAGTTGATAAAAGCCTTGATGGTAAAGCAGATATGTTGAACTCTGTTGGATACAGTTTTTTATTACAGACCTGACTTAGGGATCATCAATTTAGTACATCTCAGAATTTGAAAATTTTTTGGGTTTTTTTGCTTTAGGGTTTTGCTTTAGGGCAGGTCCAAAATGTGACCCAAAGAAATTAATTGATGTAACACGTACTTAGGTTTCAAAGTAATTTTTTTTTTTTGTTTTGTTTTGGGGTTTTTTTATCTGATTGTCTGAGATTTAGATTTATTGTGTTCTCTTAGAAGCTTAGTAGAAAGAACAGAAAGTTAAGTTTTTACTTACCTCAGGAGTAAAATACATACTGATCGCTTTCTTATTTAATCTGAGAGTTTTCTAAGCACTTGAAAGTAAGCAAGTCTGCAGAAATGCCTAAAAATATATACGCATAGTTGTTGATATGCTGAGTTATGACATGAACTCTGTTTTCTGTATGTCTAATCTCTTTTTTTTTTCTTATTTCTGAGATGTGGCTAATTCACCAGGCATATTCAAAACACATCTGAAAAAAGTTAGACCTCTTTCAATTGATTCCCAAATATTTATTCCATGCAATTACTGCCTAATAAAGATGTTGAAACAATGCTGCAACCACGGCCACCAAAAACTGCCCTTTCCTCTTCAGTGGCATACACCGTGTTTGTGAGCTATCTACTCACAGAAGAGGTTAACTATATAACCACAACTCTTAATCTCCATCAGTTTGATCATCTCTGACTATATATTTAAAAAATAAGTCTAAATCTATAAGAAAGTAAAATGAAATAAATCTTTTTGGAAAACAATCAAACACACAACAAAATAAAAACCTCCAGAATGTCATTAGTTATACAAAGAATAAAAAAATGCTCATACATATGCTATTATTAAACATTAGTCAATAAATTAGGTAATACATAAAGTAATCAGACTATACTAACTTTTTCCATTCTGTATTCCAATATTTCATTTTAAGGTTATCTGGGTCAGAAAGCTGTCAGTGAAGTGCTTGTTATTGTCTCTATGTGTAACTGATGGCTCATTTTAAATAAGCCAGCAGCATGATTCTACAAGCAGTGACACAAGATATATCAGAATATTTTAATATTATACATTGGTATTTTTTACTGCTCTGAAAAAAACCCTGATGTTCATTTGATTTTTAGGACAGAGCCAAACAGAATAAGGATTCATAAATTAGGCTGTCATTGGCCTAATTTACTTACCTAAAAAGTTAGTAACTGTAACTTACCTAAAATAGTAAATCTAACTTACCTAAAATGTTACTAAATAGCAATCTATGTAAACAAACAACTGAACCCTATACATCAAGTATGCGATTTAAACTTGAAATGAGAAAATTTCTTCCTGCAGGTTAAATAAATACAGATGATTGACCAAAATTAAATTCCTCAGGAAAAAAGGAAAACCGAGGACTATTTATTTATTTTTGTTATGTTCTTACGGATTATATAGTAGACGAAATTTGAAGAATTTAATATATTATGAATCGTTTTTTAACAGTCTCAAATGCTTAAAACCCATGAAACTCATAGATATCAGATATGTAAAGAAAATAGTAACTTTTAAGTCCATCTTACTGAAATTTCTATATCCTCTATACTACTAATTACCCAGAAGTACTGCTTTGCAGTCCAGCTGCTACTTTAGTCCAGCTGCTACTTTCTGAAACCCTGTCAAATACTTGAAGTAAAAGTCCTTTCTTATTGATGTATGTGTTGTTTTTTATGCTTGACTGTTCCACAATGGAAAAAAAAATGAGAGAGGTCCTAGAGACAATAATTTTTTTCAAAACACAGCTGTAACCTGTTCAAAGCCATCAAAGTCATGAGTCCTGAGTCATGAAGAGTTCATGTTGAGACTTTCTTGCTCATTGGTCTTGGGCCACTTAGGTCCATTTTCATGCTTGCTTAATGCAGTCTGTTTATGTTGTCTATCTTTTCTTTGCTTTCTAAATACTGAGTTCTGTCTGTTATCAACAAAACTGTTTTTATCTGATTCACAAAATTGCACTGCTACAGTAACAAGATTGATCATAATAATACGTGGGACCATCTAAGAGCTACGGTAAAATCTCATTTCTCTGCAGTTTTGTTCTAGGGTAACAGGTAGTTCATTCTACAGAGATTAATTACCCTTCCTATAAACTTCTTACAAACTGAACCAAACTGAAAACAATTAAGGCAGAAATTTCCTAACTGCCACACAATTTTTAACACAGATAAGTCAAGTTCAGATCGATTCAGGCCACAACAACCTCATGCCCTCTACTAACAAAAAACACTGGGCTACAACTGGTGGGTTTTTGAATCAATTTGAAAAGTAGAAATTCCTACTGGCTATAGTATATTTGTGTTTCAATGAACTTCCCAGGAGAACTTTTGAAATATTTTGGTACACCAGACATCAGGTCAATTTGTTTAATGTAGAGACCAGATTTTCCTCTTTAAGTGGAACTATATCAAAAGGATAATTTTTCCTATTTATTTTACAGTTCCTGTCTGAAAATGGAATAGTACTGAGGCTGAAGGTTTTTGGATGTCACTTAAAATTTTACAGTCTCTGGGTGTTGTAGGTTCATCATTATTTTCACCAACAACATAACCAACTTAGTTTACCTCCTCATGACCTCTGCTCAACAACTTTTATCAATACCTGTTCAGATCATCTTGCTTTGCTTTCCTTGTGATTTAATCCTATGACTTAGTTATGAGAAATGGCAACCCTGCCAGGACAGAAGGAAGAACAACAAACATTAGAACAGTGACTGATAGTATCTGACTTCTACCCAAGGGTTTATATTCTTTGGCCTCAAGTAGGTCTTTATCCGTAATTCTGGAAATTCATACTTTTTCATTTGATGGTCAGGGTATCCATATGTTTCTTTTATACTTTATTATAATCAAAAGATTCACTGTCTAGTGTTTGATTTGCCAGATTACTTATTTTATGCATGAGGACATAAAACCTTTTCTTTCTTTAAATGATTGCAGTAAAGCAAGAGTCTTTATACTGAATTCAGGTGAACAGAAACTAGGTATTTTTACTATTAAGAGATAATAGTTACGACCTTAGTCATAAGCCATTAATGACATACCTCAATATTATTGTCCCTACTTATAGAGAACATAGTTGTTTCAATGTCCAAAGGAATCTAGGGTTTTTCAGACCTTTGCAAGAAATATTCTTACCCAGTAATTAAATAGGGATATTGACAAAAAAAATTACATGGAAGACAAATTAACTACAGCAGAATTAATCATATAAGAAAGACAGCTGGATTTGGCCCTATATGTTCTTTCATTATCAAGGCCAGATATATTTGCCTGAACACTGTTCCTTCAATATTCATTTGGGTATTTTCTTTCTGCTGTGTCAGTCACTAAGAAGTCATCTTTAGTTCTGCCAGGCAGTATTCATGATTTGGGCTTCTGATCAAAATTGCCCTTCCTACTTTCACTCAATTTTAAATTTTGATGTGCTGTCACTTCTCTGATCTTGAAATAATTAAGTACATAATAGCATTTTCCTGTGATAGATCTGCAATATAAAATTAATAGAGTTATTTATAATGAACTATATATAACAACTAATAATTTTCCTTCACCTCATCATATCCCAAACAACATTTTTGTCTTTTAAATAATCTCACAGAATATCGCCACTTTGATAGTACCCTCTATTTGGACTAGACTAGAATATATACCAAATAAAGATGATTCTACTTCTCTCTAGGTCTTTTACTGGAACATTGTCTAATGTTTTATTAGCCAAGTTACAAACTCTTTACTAAGACTTAAGAGAAAACTCAGAATTAATAGTTTATTCATAGCATCCATGCCTTTTATGCCATTGGTTAAGCACAAGCAAAGGCTTTGGTAATTATCTGCTTAATCACCTTTACCAGTTTTCCAGTAACTCTTTAACCTATACAAATTTTAGCAAATTGAGTGCTGAATAAGTGTTTTTGATGCCTTTAATGTGAGAGCTGAAATTTCACATCATTTTGTTGGAACTGCAATATTAGTCACTTTACCTTCATGATATTATTTCTGTTGTCTTACATAATCCTTATGGAAATGACTCTATGAAAACACCATCTGTTATCAGAGACGAAGTAATGAACTCAAGAGACCTATAATGTGAGATAAGACAATTTGAGTGTTCGGGATGGGCATTATGCAATCAGAGTGTACTATTTTGTTTTAATTCTGCTTTATTTAATCATGATAGAAAATTTTACTTTCTGGATACCATTTGGGGAATTACAGATATTAGAGGAAAAGTAAACTCTCACTGGAAACTGAAGAAGTGTTCTGACTTGATACGCTCTTGTTAATACACATTCTTAAAATTTTCAGTGTCCTAGAATAAATAACATTTCTTTAATTTCTTCCATTTTTTCACTAGCCATGATTAATGTTGCTGATATCTGCATTTCAGGTACTTTATCTGAAGTTTAGTGGGTTGATCCTGGCTAGGAAGAGGTGATTTAAATCTACAAGACAATGAAAAAATAACAAAAGAAAAAATGGAAATAAATATCAAAGAAAGAGACACAAAGATGAAATTTTCAACAGTGGTGAGGAATCAGGGAATCAGATGATACTGTATCTTGTTTTATGAAAAACAAACAAATGAACATGAAATTAACAGTGATGTTTAAACAGGTCATAGGTTGAATCCACTCTGGTGAATATAGACAATTTAATCTATTTCGTGAAGCACTGTACTCTTTACTGCAATTCCTGACGCCTCATCTGGGAAATATGGAAAATGATAATGATTCCTCCTTTCTTCCACCCATATGTTGCTGACAGTGGATACCACTGGACAAGCAGCTTCTGCCATCAGCCTGCAAGACTTTTGAAGTAACCCTTACTAGAGAAGCAATTATATCGTCTATGGACTTCAGTGGGAGATTTCCACGATTTCTAAAATTCCAACATTTCCTGTAGTAAATAAATAAACAAAGAAAGAAGTAAAGAAAACTCTCAAAAGATAGAAATGGTGACTAAAGAAATCACCTGGAGAAAACAAATCAGCATCTTAAAAAATTGAAGGGAAGGATTTAAACTATTGAAATTTCTAGGTGCTGTAAAAAAGTGGCAGAAACTTAAGAGGAGAAAAATAAGACAGAAAAGAGCACAAACCTAACTAAGATTGCCCCAGGAGCTGTACAATTTGTATGGGCACGGACTAAACAGATGCACGTACAGCTGTTAAATCAACTATTCGCGTGCTAACAAGTCCTTATATACCTACTGTGACATCACATATTTCCCGCAGTTCTTAGTCAGTCCTTCCAGTGGGCGTGCTCCATTGAGTTCTCTCTCCAGGGGGCTTGGTGTGGAGACTACATCTCCCATAGTTCCTTGCAACATCCTTCCTATACAGTGTTAACCCTTTCTGCCACAAGGAGCATCTCATCTTGTTGTGTAACATACTGAAAAGGGCAAAGAGGTTCACATACTTCTGCAGTGTTAATTTGGCCTCAGGACATAACCACATGCGAAGATCTGTTTGGGCATTCTTTCTCAAAAAAAATCCCAAAGTCTTCAAATGATACCATAAGCAGTGGAATCACTGAAATGTCAGGAAACATAACAAGTAATTTAATGTATGAAATGAGTGAAATATTTCTCAATATATTTACTGTATATTGAGATCAAAGTACTGCAGAAAATTAGTTGTGGTGGTACAAGAAGGATACTTTTGCAATGGTTATGCATGAAATATGGCATCAATTATCAAGTCCTAAGATATTATTTCATTCTAATAAATAAAAGTAGGATTGGATCTGCTTCTCGTGACTGTTCATCACAAATTCTCGAGGATATTTCTCTCTCTTACCCTTCTTGTCTAATATTTCAAGAAGGGTAGGAAATATTGTTGATGAAATGAGGTCAAAGGACCTCATGTCATCAACATTGTCCCTTTTTCATGCAGTTAATTGTTTGCTATTTCATAAGACTTCAAATAGAGCAATTTAAAGTATTAAAATGTGGTGCTGTGTATCTTCAGTAAAATCTCGTATCTCCTACAAAATTTGTCCAGGTGGTAAAATTGTTAAGTATAAGCTCAACCTTCTAGAGACAGCAATATTGCTACAGATCTATACCAACTCCACTTTCCTACCAGTGGGATCAAGAGTGTAGTCTGCTTTGTGACTTTTACAATGCTGTTACGCTTCTTAACTTGCAATTAAGAAGCTATATGTCCATAAAGATCTCACTGAGGGATAGGCCATAGAGAAGCTCAGGCACTGCCTTGAAGAGGGTTGGTCTGGATTTGTGACTGATAAAAAGGGTGACATGGGTATTTTGGGATATTTGCTGTTTTATACTGGAACAGTATCAAACTTACTGTTGGATATTTGAGGGCATTTGTGGGATATTCAGATGAAGTACAGGTGTGGTAAAAGGAGGACAAAGGACCTAAAAGTGTTAGTGGTTTTAAAGCCTTTAGGTCAGTCAATAAACCTGTTTGACGAGCTCTACACCTGCGGCCCACAGTCTATTCTACCTTATGCTCTATTATTAACCATTTCTTAGCTTTTTTTTCTATGTAATCTCATTCTACCCCTTCAGTGAGAGCTGCAAAGTGTGTGAGTGGTAGGAAGTGGAAGAGATGCCTCACATTACATATCTTGTTGATCTGTATACTATCCAACTTAGAAGACAGCAATTAGTGATCGACATAATGGCTAATCCAGGGTCATATCTCTATATGATAGCATCTGACCACTACCTAATCGAGGTATATTTATTCATTAGTATAATTAATTGCTGTATGCACAGTCAATGTACATACAGTCAATGCACATTTAATCATAATTATATGCATAGTGTTCACTCTTGAGGAGAAAAGACAATGCAGAAAGAATCATGCCTTGCAGAATATACCTCCTAAGGAGCCTTTCTGCTGTGCCTTTTGCAACTGGACGTGTCTATCTCGTATTGACCTTTTTAGCCACCAACATGCCTGCAACAAATGTGGGTAGAGCACTTCCCAAATCTTCGTTCGCGAAGCCCAGCCATGATGATGATATGCATAGTGTATTGTGTTGTCCTCTTGAACAAGTAAGAACTTGTTCGTCACCTCAAACGTTTTTATAGGAATGTTAGAGTCCGGGGGACTTCAAAATTGTGCCCATAATCCATATTGACTGATGTCTGTGATTGATGGATCTGTATTGTGAGCAAGGACCCATCAGTATACTAGTGAATTTAATGAACAAATCACATCACAGATGGAATCTGTGCAGCATGCTGTGCTCTGTTCAGAGGTACACTCAATGTTTTAGCATCTTGCAGTTCCCATTGTCCGAAGTTGTCTTTTTCATCTTTGGGTTCCCAGTGTCAGGGTCTACACTCAAAGCTTTATCATACTGGGGTTCCCAGGATCAGAAGTGATGTAAGATTTTACAGCTACCTGTCACCTTCTCTGGGTTATTGATAAATAGTTATCTACACTGCAAGTTTTTATGCCTTTCTTATTGACATCCAAAAAGAACCAGACCTTCCCCAGTGCAAAACAGCCTGGGTGATAAAAATGGAGACACTGGGGTGTCAATATATAGATGTTGAAAGCTACAAGTGCAGGCAACTGAGGACACCATGGGCCACAGAACTCATAGGCTTGTGTCCCAACACTGGATAGGCCAGGATGTATGTACAAGTATGAGAGGTCTAAATACGAAGAGCTAGGATTACCTGAAAGTATGTACATTTCTCCAGTGCATTTCATCCTGCATGCATGTCAGTGTGTGTTTAATTCACTACCAAACTTCAAAATGGACTAACTGAAGAGTGGGAAAAGACCTGTACCCAGAAAGATCCAATGTCTGAAACAGTGACTGGGTGAGAACTCTGTCTCTGAGAATGTGTAGTAGTTTGAACCTTGTTTTCCCCAGAGGCTAAGAGAAGTGGTAGACCCCAAGGGGTGGAAACCCCTGGAAGTTTTGAATTTCTGCCCAATGGGTACTCCTGCAGGAATGTAAACATATCACAACCAGACCGGAAAAGAAGAGTTGTAGTTTTGGTTGTTGTAGGAGAGGTGGCCATGTTGTAGAGCCACGAGGTAGGGGCTCTGAGCCCCTTGGGGCCTCTGGCCCCCTCCCAGTCTCTGGCTGGGGGGCTGCAGGGACCTGGAACAGCATAAAGCTGGGCTAGGTGCCTGTAGTATACCGGGAGATGTTTTCTCCATGGGCACAAAGCAGCAGCCGACGCTGACCAGAGAAACAGTGGCAGAGAGCCAGAGATAAGAACCTGAACTGAAGAAGCAGCAGAAGCAACATGCAGCACTGCAGAGGAGACTCCCGGAAGGAGAGTCGAGGAAAGGAGAGCCAGCAGCTGAGAGCTACAGAGTTCTTGGGGGTAAGACTGATACCAGATCCCCAAAACTCCTTTGAGACCTCCTGGAAGGAGGAAGATGATGGACTCTTACTTGAAAGAGCCTTGAAGTGCGACATGCACTGTAGAAAGGAGCTAGAGAGCTCCGAGAGGAATGCAGGGGGAGTTGACCTTGGCTCTCCCCCCTCGCACTGCTGCCACGGTGGCAGCCTGAGAGACAGGGCACAGAGGCCCTGCAAGAGATACCAGACCGTCACGAAGACCCCCCTGTGTCTTCGTGATATGACGTGGTGATACGACCTTGTCTGGGGTTACGAAGTCCACGGAAGACCCCTCGGTTGTGAGGCGATGGGGCCGAGAGAGAGGCTTGGATACCTCCCTCGTGAATGCTGGCAGAAAGCCAGCTATCAGCTGCTGCATGCATGAGAAGAAGAAACCTGCTGCCTTAGAAGATGCTGCTGTTCAGAGACTGGAAGGGATCTGTCCTTCTTTCCCTCCTGGACTTTTATTTGGAGGGGAGAAGAGATCTGATCCATTGTAAATACATATGTCATGGTAGAGATAGTTTGTGATCGTGTGTATAATGTGATATGGTATTTATTTGTACAGTCATTGTAATATATTCCCTTTTCCCCACTTTGAGTCTGGTGTGTTTTGTCTGGAAAAACCCATCTCACATTAGGTTGAGATGTGGGAGGGGGAATGGAGCTAGGGAATTGGATTTTGGGCCTATCTCGAACCATGACAGAATGGATATTAGGCAGACTGAGAGACTGTACTAACATGTGGTTACAGAAGTGTTTCTGAGAAGACCTATATGGTCAGTAAGGCAGCCCAGACTCTGGGCATGAGTATTAGATGAAATTAGAGGCTGTGATGATATTTGAGGGATCTGTGAAGGTGTTTGTATAAGTGAATCAAGAAAGAGAGGATACGTGACTTTTCACTTGCAAACCTCATTTCAATCAGTGAGAGGAACAGAACTTTGTTGTCTGTACCTAAGTTTTATATGATTTCTGGTATTATTGTACGTGGATGCTGCTAAAGGCAGTGCCCTGTATGAGTCTGTGTGGCCAGTTATGTTAATGTCACCTATGCACTTGTGTGTATACATACGTGTGTGTATGTACCTCTCTGAGATGTCAGTGCAGTCTTTGCGCTGACTGGATGTGCAAGCAAGAACAGTTTCAGACACATCCTTGGGACTGAGATGGAAAGAACACTGGGGACACAGCCTGCAGCTGCCTGGGCTTCAGAAGCCAGGAAGGAGCATTCTTCTGTCCTTGGAGTCCACTGGACTCAATGGTTCCCACACCATCTCTAACAGAGGGATTTAGCTTTTACAGCCATGGAACAGGCTTTGAACTTTGAGGAACTGTTACGAAGAGACAGAATCCACCTGATAAACCTAGGTAAAAGCATCTTTTCTAATAGGTTATCCAATCTGGAAAGGAGACCCTTAAATGAGTAACAATATAGGATGGAATAGAACTAACACCAGAAGAAAGCAAACAACACTCCCATCTACAAAAAGAGTAAGGAGAAGTACCCAAGGAACTTCAGACTAGTAAGCCTTACCTCAGTCACTGAAAAGATGATGGAGCAAATCCTTGTTGACACCATTTCCAAGGACAAGAGGCAATGGGCTCAAATGGAAATGCAAGGAATTTCACTAAAACTTTATAAAGTTTGGATGATTTTTACTGTGTAGGTGGTCAAATCCTGGAAGAAAGTTGCCCAGAGAGGCTGTGGAGTGTTCAGCCTCAGACACATTGAAAACCTCCCTGAACACAGCCCTGAGCACCCTGCTGTAGTTGACTAGGTTGA